ATGAAGGAGTGATAAGGTTGTCGTGTGACGATTTTCTAATCAAACATATGGACAAATACAATCAAACCTTAGAACACTTGATAATAGTTACCCTATAAAACATTCCCCAAGTTATTTACGACCTTGTCACATATGAATTTCACAAATTAAAATCAAACCCACAAAATAACATAAATAAATATTAGCCAGTATATTCCATTAAAAAAAGAATGGGTACACCCTTGTACTAGAAATTTTTTAACATAAAAAAAACTATTAATCTTATATATAACGTCAATAATCAAAAAATGAACTCTTTCTAAATTTCCATACTTAACCATGTATCTTTTGTCCGACAACTGAAAACATTCTTCCTCTATCATTATTCTTCCTTGCTTTATTATTATACCTTCTCCTACCGGACTTCTTTCCACCACCACCACCACCACCGTAGGCGGCAACACCATTAGGTATGAAAACTCCAGTGCCACCACCACCATTAGCCCACAAATTTTCCATCCAACTAGGGACTGGACTTCTTACCGTCTCCGACCAACTACAGTAGTTCCTAGCCACCGGTCTTGATTCAACACCACTATAAACCACTGGTCTCCGCCGTATCACCGCCACACCCTTTGTATACATACCCATGTCATCATCATCTTCATCAGTAAGCATCAATATCTGTCGCGTGAGTTCTTGATAAAACGCATTGTCTTCTTCATCAACTGAACTTGAAGAACCCGAATATAAATCCATGTACTTGTGGCGAAAAAAAGATGTATATAATTTATTTTATAAGTGTAGTTTATATGGTTTTAGAGGGGTGTATATATAGTCAAAATTAATGGGAATAAACGAATTATTGGTTTGGATATGGTCAACGTGAGTGGGTTCATGGAAGGTTGGATATGAGTTAACGTTAAATTTCCAAGTGGCGCCATTGCTTTATTTAATGATATCAAAGTTCGTTGAACCAAATAATAAGTCCACGAGACTTGGGCACGATGAAGGTAACATTTGTGTCATCATATAATATTTTTGAATTAATAATTGAAGTCAACGAGAAAAACACAATCTGTCCATACATTTTAAATAAAAAAATATATGTGATATCATAGAATGAATGTTAAGGGTATAACGAACGTCTTTTTGTAGGTAGAATTAGTAGATATTTGGGGATATCAAATCCCGAAAAATATTTTTTAGAATGTGAGTTGTGGACATTTCTGATGTGATGTGCAATAAAAATGAAATACGAATAAAAACTGAAGTTTCTTGAAGATTTCAGTAACTCTTCCAGGTAGACTCTTACAAGTATCATTGCATAATAGTTGCCCTCTTGTCTTCAAGATTTCTACCGTTGTAGAATGCGAGTTGTGGAGTTTCTACCGTTGTATGAGTGAGAATTAGGTACTTATCAAGTTTGCTATTTATGTCATTATTTTATTATTATTACTAGGTGTGTGACCCGTGTATTACACGGGTCGTGTATTACACGGATTTATTAAAAGGTTCAAAAGTAAAAGGTGTGAGCAAAAAAAGATCATTCATGTAAGTTTTGGTAACCACAAGGACTATGTTCATAATAAAATAAGTATCAACTGAGTTTGTGACCTTTGGTAAATCACATGGGCCATTTATGTGATTTAATCTTAATTAATCTATAGTAATAAACTTATTTAATATGAATTCACAAATGAAAGATATTATCTACATTAGTTAATTATACATTAGTTAATATATTAATAGAAAGAGGAATTCACAAATAGAAAGTTATGATGTACATTAATTAATATATTAATAAAATTAATTAATATGAGATGACATTTAATAGGTGAAATTTGACTAAAAATGAAAAAATCTATAAAAATGACAAGTGGATATTAAATAATTCAAAAAATCTATAAAATGACAAGTGTCAAAATAAATGAGAAGAGGACATGTGACAAAATTATTTTTATTAATTACGCTAGATTACTACGAGTTTAGAAGTCATCCAATTTATATTAGGATTCTTGTACACCGCATTATAAATATAAACATTTTAGTCTTTAAAATAAATAATTAGTATGTTTTTGCTCTTCTCCACTCTCCTATTGTCAAGTAAGAACCTTGATACTTGTACCTCATGATTTTTTTTCCTACTATGGGTTTCCATTTATATTTTGTGTTCTCAGCGTTCTTATTTTTCTTCTTGTATTTATCGTCATTTATAAGAAGCAGTATCAATACATTCTATCCCAAAAACCATTAACCCGGATTTATATTTCCCAAATCTTTCACAATGTTTTTTCTAATCGAATTTAATCTTTACTCTTTCATCTTATAATTGCCTATCACAAATCGATTTTATCCTGAACTTGCTTCCATAAATCGATTTTCATCCTAAACCTACAACTTGTTATATTGAGTTTCTTCTATGTCTTCTATGAAGTATAGTATTTCATTTTTGGGTCGTGACACAAGGTTTTCCCTATGACAAGATGAGACAAATTGATTATTTTGGAGGAGATGGAGTTTCCTGAATCAACTATAATCCATGGGATTTCATTAAATAATGAAGTCTATTGGAGTTTTGTTCCATTTGTCCCATCTATTGCTTATTATGGACATTGCTCATGTCAAAACACCTTTGAATGATCATCAATGATTGGAAGTTACATACCTTTTAGAGTCTGTCCAATCATTTTTAGTATATTGGGCGAAAGGGAAAAAAGTCCCCTCAAAGACAAAAGTACTACTTTTAGAGGCTTCCAATTTTAGGTGTGTTGGATCGTGTGTTCGTATCACTTGTTCTTTGAAGAAAATCAAATCGAAAGACATTTAAGTTGCATGCCATTCAATTTGAAGATTTTTACTTCTTTTAACATATGTACTTTAGATAAATTCTTATTTGAGTAAGATATCAATGTATGAGTGCACTCACAATACTTTTAAAGTATTTTTTTTTGAGGTACTTACATAAAACTTAAGTTTAAAGTTTCGTAGAGTTTGACTTATTTGGTTTTATCATCATTTTTCCAATTATGGAGTTTGAGAAAGAATACGTGGAAACACTTGTTGGGAAAAACCACAAAAGACTAGGTATCTTGTATATAAAATTGATGATATGAAGGATTTACAGTGTATATAATAAAAATAGACATCTTTTATATAAAATTGATGATGTGAAGAATTTACAATGTATATCTACTATAATAAATGAAGGTTTTTTTTGCCACATGTCATCTTCTCCTTCATTTCGACACATGATATTTTCTAACATTTTTAAATTTTATATTTTCCACTTGTCATTTTATTAAATTAAAATTACACATTTAATATGTAAGGTATTTATTAGAAAGGGTTTATATATATAATGTATCCATTACATTAAAATCTCATTAGTTTTAATAATTCAAAAGATTTCTTATTTTTTTTATAAATTCAAACTTTTTAAATTGTTAAAATTATATATATATATATATATATATATATATATATATATATATATATATATATATATATATATATATATATAAACCCATGTAATATATGGGTCTCACACCTACTAATAAAAATATACGAGTAGCATAAGAAATGATGAAATAATTTATTAACTAAAGGTTTATGTTTATAGTGATTTACATAAATCCTAATACGAACTATATACTTTTTAACCTTCTAAAAGTGAAAAAAAATAATGTCATGAAAATACCAATTTGAAAACCAAGTAACTATTACCAAAGCAAGATGAAAATTGGTTTATACAACATGTTTAATTATTCAAAGTTTAGTTTAACCATTAAAACTTTTACACCATCTTAACCATTCAAAGTTTTTATCTTTTTATTTTAATAGTTTATCCTTCGATTAAAAAAACAAGTATGACTAAAAAATATTCTTTTATTAAATGTGCGCAAATGTAGGATTCGATCTGATATGTTTTTGATTAGGTCTGGCCTCAATCCAATCCAATCAAAATCCGATCTGGATGTCATAATCCAATTCCGGCTCCAACCAAATTCCAAATCAAATTCTTCTCCGATTTCAAATCAGTTCCAACCAATTTTTGTTGAGTTTTATCAGATTTATGCCGGTTTTGGCTCCATTTTTTAGCAAATCCGGTTTATGATCTGGTATCAAATCCGATTTTTATCCATAGGATTAGGATCCAATTGTAAACCGATGGATCTGATCCGGTTTTGTAAAAACTGATTTTCAGACCAAATCGGTTTCAAATCAGGATCTGGTTTTCGTGTGGATCTCTACTTTTTTTTTTATTGTTTTTTGCTCATCATTATAGAAAACACACATTGATATTTTTTTAAATAAACTTTTATGGATTTTTATGGAATTTAGACTTCAGAGTCTGTTTGGTAATTTGGTTGCCTTAATGGCTCCAAACTTATTTGGTTATGTGAGAAAGTATCTGGAAAAGAAAAACGTATTTCCCTAACCAGTTTTCCCTCTTCTCATTCTCGCCTCCATCAAACTTCGCTGCCCTCTCCGACCTCGCACACTGCCTTCTACCATCGTCCCTCTGCTCCGACTTCGGCGGCGTTAGGGACAACCTCTGCTGTGCGTCGTAGAGCACTAGTGTTTCAAAGACAGCTGCATCCTTCTCTCGTAAGTTTCCGTATACTGAAATCTAATTGTGAGATAAATATATCGAAGAATCACACCGTTAGTTGATTTGTTGAATGTGATGCTGAAGTTTCTAACTAATGCGCGAGTTATTTCATGAATTTGATAGAGTGTATGTATTGATGTACATTGAAATGCGAAGTGTGGTTTTGTGGTTTCGATAAAAGCCCTAAGAGAACGTTAATTGATGAAATAAGTTAAACTCAAACTATTAATGACGAAGAAGACTGAAATCAGATTAGGAACCCTTTCTTAGGAAAATTAGCAGTGTAAAATAGATTGTTGAAACGATTTAGGGTTTTTTTAGTATTTGTATTCTCCTAATTCTATCACCGATTGTGGCAACTTCTGATTTGTGTTTCTTAATCTTAATTGGATAGGCTGAGGTTTAGATGAGTCTCATTGACGATGCTTCGGTGAACTCATCAAGCAGCGATGATTTTGCATCTTTTCTGGATGCAGAGTTGGATTCTGTCTCTGATACATCTCCTCAATCAGAAAAAGAAGAAGACGAACAAGAAGATGATGATGAAGATGAAGATGATGGCGACAACAATGATGGTGATGATGATGATGATGACGACGATGATGATGATGAGAATTATAAGTACCTTGATGAAAGGTACGTACTGACATTGTTTTCCTCATCTAATCTTGCATCAAACATATATACCTAAAGATTTGTAATATGTTTTCTGAGAGAGAAGGTATCAAGAGGCTTACTATCAACCTAGTGAAGCTCAAGTTTTCCATGGCTTATGATGCTTACTGAGACTCATGGAGTTTTTAATTTATGTTCAGAATTTCAATCATTTTGGTTGATTTTAAAAATTTTAATCTTCCACAGGACAAAGAGGAGGAAGATTAGTGAATCAGAAACTACCGAAGAACCTAATGGTTCAACATCTCATACAGAACAAGAAATTATCTTAGGTATCCTATTGTTTATACATCAGTTTGAATTATATTTCATCTACAAAATTTCTAACTCTTGTTAATTATTATTATGTTCTGAAGAATCAGTGAAGGAGGGAGCATGCACACATCCTGGTTTTATTGGAGGAATGTGCATAAAGTGTGGAGAGAAAAGGGATAGTGATGATCAGTCTGGTGTTGCATTTGGGTATATACACAAGGTTATTCTTCTTTCATAAATCACACATATCATTATCTCTTGTCATGAAGTTCTTGAACTTTCGTAACCAATAAAACTTATGATATTGCAGGATCTTAGACTTGCTAATGATGAAATTGATCGATTGCGTGATAGAGATATGAAGAATTTGTTACGCCACAAAAAGCTTTACTTGGTTCTTGATTTAGATCACACCTTACTAAACTCAACCCGGTTTTCTGATATAACTCAAGAAGAAGGATACTTATTGAACCAAAATGATCCCATGCAAGGTATGATGACTCTTCATAAGTACAATACCGATATTTGTTAGAAACATTGTTTTGACTTTTAACACTTTGTAATGACAGATGCACTGAAAGGTAGTTTATTCAAATTACCCTCAATGCACATGGTAACAAAGTTGAGGCCTTATGTCCACACTTTCCTGAAAGAAGCAAGCAAGTTGTTTGAAATGTCTATTTACACCATGGGTGAGCGTTCTTATGCATTAGAAATGGCAAATCTTCTTGACCCTGGTAGGGTTTACTTTGACTCTAGAGTAATTGCACAAGGTGATTGCACCCAAAGACATCAAAAAGGACTTGATGTGGTTCTTGGGAAAGAAAGTGCTGTTTTGATCCTTGATGATACAGAAGTGGTAAGCAAACATCCATCACTTACTAATATTACTATAAAATTACCTTTTTACACCTGCGACATAAAGTTGATTGTATTTTTTTTTTAAAGGTATGGAAGCACAAGGATAATTTGATTGTGATGGAAAGATATCATTTCTTTGCATCAAGTTGTAGACAATTTGGGTACAGATCCAAATCACTTTCTGAATTAAGAAGTGATGAAAGTGATGCTGATGGTGCTCTTGCTACTGTTCTTAAAGTTCTTAAACGAGTCCACACTATGTTCTTTGATCCGGTATGCCCTCCTCAATTTTTGCAAATCATAATGTGTTTTGATAGCGTAAATTACTGAAATCGTCCCTATGGTTTGGTCAAAATTGCACTTTTGGTTCCTATGGTTTGATTTTGTTGCGTTTTTCGTCCCTTACATACATAAAGCTAGGGACCAAACGTGAAATTTTGACCAAACCATAGGGACGAAAAACGCAACAAAATCAAACCACAGGAACGATCCGAGTGCAAAAGAAAGTTAGGGACCAAATGTGCAATTTTGATAAAACCATAGGGACAAAAAACGCAACAAAATCAAACCATAGGGACGACCCGAGTGCAAAAGAAAGTTAGGGACCAAATGTGCAATTTTGATAAAACCATAGGGACGAAAAACGCAACAAAATAAACCATAGGGACGATCCGAGTGCAAAAAAAAAGTTAGGGACTAAATGTGCAATTTTGACCAAACCATACGCAACAAAATCAAATCACAGGGACGATCCAAGTCCAAAAAAAAGTTAGGGATCAAACATGCAAATTTGACCAAACCATAGGGATGATTTCAGTAATTTACTCCTTTTGATATTTGAGAATTTGGTGTTCAAGTTTTAATGATTTTACTCTAACTTCACACAATAGGAACTTGGGGAGAATTTTGATGGGCGTGATGCAAGGCAGGTGAGATACTCATTATATTTAGTTATTTACTCTTTTACCCCCCACAACTATTTCCTATTTTTATTATTAATTTGTAAAATTGTTATATTATTATTATGTCAGATGTTGAGAGCTGTTCGGAGTGAAATATTGAAGGGGTGTAAAATAGTGTTCAGTCGGGTTTTTCCGACACAGTTTCAGGCGGAAAACCACCAGCTATGGGTGGTGGCTGAGCGGCTAGGTGCCACGTGTACAACTGAGGTTGACTCATCAGTGACACATGTCATCTCCACAGACATCGGAACTGAAAAGTCAAGATGGGCTGTTCAAGAGAAGAAGTTTCTAGTGGAACCACGGTGGTTGGAAGCTGCAAATCTCAGATGGGAGAGACAACCTGAGGAGAAGTTTCCGGTGGTCAAAGAAGTAAAAGAAAAACACTGATCTCTTTTGGTTTCTCTCTCATTTGACTAGATGTTGTTGACTTGATAGAGAGTTGTGGTTTTTGTTGGTATAGTAGTAATAGTATAGGTGGTGGTTACTGGTTAGGTTAGAAGGACAAGATTAGAAATATCATACATTTTGCATCTGATGTGTCTGATTAAGATGTACAGGATTTTTCATTTTTGCTTGTCAAAGATGTTTTCACTCAATGGGCTTAATGGGTTAGCTATATATAGCTGTTTTGACTTAATGGGTTAAGCTAAAAAAACTTGCTAATTTTTGTCACAATACCACTTATGTTAGAATTGATGAATATTGTAAAGTTTGTTTTTTGGAATGTAATGGTAAACTAGTGCTTAGATGTTTTTTTCGTTTGGTATTAGAAAATTGATTAATGTTGTTAAAATGATAACTTTTTTTTTTTTTTTTTTGAGAAGGGTAAATTAGTCGGTTAATCATCTAGTTGTTTGGACGTTTTATTTGTGAAATTTGTTTTTTAGAATGTAAAGGTAACATAGTGATTTAGTTATCTATATCAGTAGCATTACCCATTCAATTAATTTATGCATGGTTTGTGTTATAACTTGTGTTGGTTGATTTTAGCGAGATTAAACAAAATTTGTATTATTAATAAGGGATAATGACTTAAAAGGGTTATACATTCTTCGATTTGTGTACAATTGGTCACTGAGTTTATTTTTTGTTTACATTTACCCCCTTAACTTGTTAAACTGTTCTTTATGACCGGTTTTTCAGATTAACCGGTAAAAATGTCTTAATAGGGTAATATATTTATCATTTTGTACACATTTAGTCCTTAATTTTTTTTTCTTGTAAAATAAATTATTTTGTTTTTGTACTCATTCAATACTTATGAATGTTTTCTTTAAGTTTTTCTCATAACATCTTACATGGAACAATAATTAACGATGTGTTTTAGGCTTTTGATGCTTATGTCCATCGCGATCTCGACTACTTGGTTGCTTAGGTAATGTGTTTTGAACGTCATAACTTTTTCATACTATCTCGGATTTTAACGATCTTTATATTTATGCGTTTGTATTTTAGTCTACTATAACTTTTATTTAGATTACTCCCGTTAAAATATATATATTTTTTAATTACGATCTTTATATCCGTACGTTTTTTATGAATGGATGTATGGATGGTTTTTTACAAAATCGTAAGTAAAAACATATTATATTTTAACGGGAGTAATCTTAACGAAAGTTATAGCAGACTTAAAAAACGAACATGTAGATATAAAGATCGTTAAAATTAGATATCGTATGAAGAAGTTACGACGTTCGGAATACAAAACCTAAGCTAAACCACTAGACATATGCAACCAAGCAGTCTATCCCGCGATGGACATAAGCATCAACAACCCTAAACACCTCATCAATCAGGGACGGACGTAGGATTTGGTAGTAGGTGTTGCCGATAAGTAGAAAAAAGAAAAAAAATTGAAAAATATCGAAAAATTTACACTGCATACAGAAAAAGCAGGGGTTGTCGGTGTCACTACGGACACCCAAAGAGAACTGTCCCTGTCATCAATGATAGTCTCATGTTAGATGTCGTGAGAAAACCCTAAATAAATCATTCATAAGTACTGAATTGGTACAAAAACAAAAAATGACTTATTTTGAAAAAAAAAATATTAAGGACTAAATGTGTACAAAAATATTAAGGACTAAATGTGTACAAAATAAGAAATATATTACCTTAATAAATCATTTTTCCCCGGCTAACCTGGAGTAATCGGTCATAAGGACTAGATGTGTATAGTTTAACAAGTTGAATGAGTAAATATGGACGAAAAAAAGACTCAGTGATCAAATATGTACAAATCGAAAAATATATTTACCTTTTTAAGTCATTATCCCTATTAATAATTGTGAAAATATATTAGGATATTATTCGTACTAATTGTTTTTTTTATTATTATATAAGTAAAGAAAATATAAAAATTGAAATACATCAGATACAGTCGGAATTTAATTCTATTAAAATACTTCAAGATTCCATCATTAATTTTATCAAACATTATATTAATATAAAAAATATTAATATCTTTAGTTGGGAATGTTGTCAGAGCACCTAACTTTTTTATAATGGAACAACTTTTTTTTAATGGAACACAACATATTTTGGAATTAGATTTCTAGTTATTCTTGAGTTGTAGGTTCCACTAATTATTAAAGACCCCTTTTTAATGCACATAATATATATCCTATGCACATAATTATCTTTCAAAGTTGGTACTATTTTTTTCATAGGAAGATTTTGAGAACTTTTAGTCTGAATGCCATGGGAAGAGGATTTGAAGTATACATATAACAAAAGTTACGACTTAAATGGATTTGAAGGCGCAAAACAACATCTGTGCTCTTTTCTTAGCTTCTTCTTCTGAAGAGCCCACATACTCACAATCATCATTCTCAATAACCTTTACATCTTCAAACATACTCATATCTACATCACCTCCACCTATATTATGTTAATTTGTTGGAAACCCATCCATTTTGCATCAATTTTATCTATACATTGGAAATCAACCATATTTAATTCTATTTCATCTACGAGGTTTGACTCATCAAGTCATCAACCATGAGATCACTATCATTACTCGAGTCATCATTGTCTTGTTCCATTGGTACAAATACAGACCCTTCTCCCATGTTACTTTTACATGAGTTCTTCCCAAATAACACATTAAAATCTTGAAAACTTTGTGCAAATTCTTCATCAAATCTCTCTTTATCTACCATTTGCTCAATCTTAATCAAACATAGGCTCATTATCCATAACCATTTTCTCTTCAACTGGATTAGGTTCAATTGCCTCATTAACAACCGGTTGATCTTCCACTTGCATTTTTTTCACCTTGCTCAATTTATTCATATGTATATTGAGCATCTTCTTTTGTGGCTTCTTGTCTATTAACATCTTTTCATGTACCTTCTTGTGTATCAATATCATTAATACCAATTTCTTGCTACAAGATGATGTTCATCCCCTAGACATTGTCCTTCTACACCTCTTTAATTCATCCCTCAACACCCATGGAAAATTATCATGCTTAGTCACTCTCCTCAACCACCATCTCATTGTCATACTCTACTTGTAGACCTTAAAAAAACGGGAATTTCCTTACTCTCATCTAAATCTCTAATAATCATATAAGAGGAGCCATTAGGAGACATGAAATAGGTTAGTAGACAAATTCTCCCATGCTCTATATAAACTTTTATATGATTATTTGCAACAACATATTTAAATAGGATACAAACATCATCATCATTTCCTAGTTCTCTTAACCCAAAATCCATATCAGCTCTATGTATCCTAAAATAATAGTAGTAGATGACTAGCGGTATGTGATAACCTATTTCTTCCATTATAGAGTCCATTTCATGGACTGAAAATTTATCGATGTATAATAGGTCAATGATGTGAAACTTGTTCTTGTACGTATCTCCTTCCAAGGAATGTGGCGAACTTACCTCTGTGATGTAGTTCTATGGAGGACATTATGGGATGCCAATCTATCGAAGAACAAAAAGAAAAGGGTTTCAAAAGATTTATGTATTAATTCAGAGGTCTTAAACTCCAAATATATGTTACTTTCTAACACATTAAATCATGAATGTATAAAATAACATATATGTTCTCAACCTCGATGTATTGATTCATAGGTCTTAAACTCCACATTGACACCACCACTAGGCTTCCACAAAAGTTTACAGGAGAGCTTCGATGCCAACTAGTTCGAAAATAGAAACTATAACTACAGTTTGAAAACGCAGAAAACGAAAAGAAATGAGATGAAATTTTGAGTGACAACTAGTTAATATATGCAACATCCCGACTCCCAGATATAATATTTAATTAAGTTATATTCATTTTGTTAGGGCTACTCGATGAGTTGGAGGTCCTAACTCGCCGAGTAGATATGGAGATAGCCACGGGATTTGTAGAGTCTACTCGATGAGTTGGAGGACCCCAACTCGACGAGTAAGTGCTGAGTGAGAAAACCCTAATTTCAGGGTTTGTGTCCTATTTAAAGGACCTTAAACCTTCCTATCCACCTCCCTTAACACTTTAGAGCTCTGTGAGAAACCCTAATATTGTGTATGTGCTTGTGCGAGAGAGAGATAAGCTAACTTTGGGTGTTCTAGTGCATATTTGGAAGAGGATTGGAGAGAATCAAGCCTTGGAATGAGAAAAGGCTTTTGGATCAAGAGTTTATCTGTGCTAGCTTTAGTTTGGAGGTAAAAAGCTACCAGCTCGAGCAATTCTTTTGAAAGATCTCCTTCTAGGGAGTTTTAAGGCTTTCCCCCAATCTTGTGGTTCGTGAGTTGATGGAGCTTGTCATGGAGTTGAGACTCCAAATCTAGACAAAAGAAGGTCCCATGAGCCCAAAGATCCAAGCTTTATCAAGCTTTGGGCAAGTCTCCGTGCATGAAACCCTTTATGGATCTTGTTTTTGCATTTTGAGCCCTGGATGTCATGCATAAACGTAAAGCTTGCAGCTTTACGTGATAAGTAAGCCTTAGAAGGTTAGATCTAGAGTATGAGACGTCATTTCTACATAAAAACGTCTAAATGAGGAAATGGTCTGAAGGGACTCAACGAGTCGGTTAGGGTTTTCCCCGACGAGTCTGGACACGTTGTAACTCGGCGAGTTGATGAGACAACTCGACGAGTTGAGTTGGAGTTTTCCCGATTTTTTGAGAACAGGAGGAACTCGACGAGTTGCATAGGTGCACTCGACGACTTGAGTCAACATGGACTGTTGACTTGAATGTTGACTTTCGTTGACTTTTAGGGTTGGGTGAAGTTGTGGACTTTGGAGAACATGGAGGGGTAAAATGTTCTTTCACCATTTTTAGAGATTTAGTAGAGGAGTTAGCTTAACATTTTATATAATTGTTAAGTAGAGATGATTGTGATACGTGTAGACGGAGTCTAGACTAGCAATTCGAGTGTGGGACATATTGCTTTACTCTATGAGGCGAGTCTTGTCACTATACTTACCGGAGTGGTAATACTGTGCGACCGGAGGGTCCTATTTGAGTTATTGACCATAGGGTCTTGTATGCTTATACTGAGTTATGTGATATCATGCATTATGTCTTTGTGATTTATGTTGTATATTATTCTGTGCTTTATTGAGTTAGGACCAGAGGGTCCAACCCGAGTTGTGAGACCGGAGGGTCTTCACTGAGACACATTGATCGGAGGGTCTTTATCGAGATGTAGCCATGAGAGGCTAAT